ACTGCCCTCTAAATGGCTGTAGCTTCGGTATTGTTACTATCAAGTAGAAAGTTACGGTAATTACTGCCATTTTAAGAGTAGTTCTTTCAAGATCTTCCAAATCTTCGAAGATCTTGAAAGAACTACTCTCTAAATGGCAGTAGTTTCGATGTTAACATGATAATATGAGTGAAATTTTCTTATTTGAAGTCGGTTAAAGAGCAGTTCTTTCAAGTTCCTTCAAATCAGGAAGGGTCTTGACAGAACTGTCCTCTTATTGATTGGAATACCGGTATTTTACGTTGGTAAATGCTTGATTTGAATTGGGGGCTGAGTGTTGGAGAAAAAAAACATTAAAAAAATAAAAAGTGCCAAAATAAAAAATTCAATCTACATATATATAGTATTTCTAGGCCTGTCCAAACTTTTAAAAAAGCTTACCACGTGGAAGGAAGAGACCAAAAAAATCGTGCCTCGGCGGCTTCGCCGCCTCGGCACTAAAAACAGCATATCATATTTAATATGTCCTTTTTTCTTTTTCTCTTTTCCTCTTTCTCTCTCTTTCTTTTTCTTTTCTTTCTCTCTTCTTTTCTTTCTTCTCTTTTTCTTCTTCTTCTCACTTTCTTTTTGGAGCTGCTTTACTTTGAAATCTCTTCATCAATTGATGAGAGAAATAATAGTAAAGTAGCTTCAATGTAAATACGTACATTGATTGGGTTATGGTTAGCGGTAATGTCTGTATGTAGTTCGATTGGAGCTGCCTCACTCTGAGATCTCTCATCAAATGAAGAGAGTTCTCAGAGTGAGGCAGCTCCAATGTATATGTGCGTATTGATTGGGTTGCTGTAAGAAGCAGTGCTTGTGTGTAGTTCGATTGGAACTGCTTTACTCTGAGATCTGTCATCAATCGATGAGAGTTCTCAGAGTAAAACTGTTCCAATGTGTAATCTTGTGCTAGCTTGTCTGTTCGATTGGAACTGCTTTACTCTGAGTTCTCTCATCAATTGATGAGAGAAATAAGAGCAAAGTAGCTCCAATGTATATATGTGTATTGATTCGGTTTGGTTAGCTGGACTGTCTGTAAGTAGTTCGATTGGAACTGCCTCATTCTGAGATCTCTCATCAATAGATGAGAGAAATAAGAGTAAGGCAGTTCCAATGTATATAATCGTATTGATTTGGTTGCTTTAAGTTGGAGTGTTTGTGCGTAGTTCGGTTAGAACTGCTTTGCTCTGAGAACTCTCATCAATCGATGAGAGTTCTCAGAGCAAAGCAGCTCCAATGTGTAAATTTGTATTAGTTCGGGTGAAAGAAGTTGTAGTGCTGGTGCGTAGTTTGACTATCAAGAAGCTCGCGATTCAAAACTCATCAAATGAAAAGTTTATAGTGGGCTTCTTGATAATATGTTAAAGGTGATGTTCTTGTTCGAGTTGTAACAAGAAGGAATACATGAGTACGTAAGCTCGGCATTCGCCGAGCGAATTAAAGATAACGGACGAATTTAATTTATTTTATTTCAAAATTTAAAATTTTAATATTTAATTATATAAATTAAAATAAACATTTTTACAAATTTTTATAAAAAAATATGTGACATATCGTTTTACCACAATTCAAAATAATTAATGTTGATAAATGTATTTAATATGTAATATTAAACATATTTTGCGCGAGAAGTGAGTTGTGGTAACTTTCGTGGATATCCATCGTTCATTTTATGGTAAAAATTCTCAATTTGTGGGAAAAGTTCTCAATTTTGTGGTAAAGTCATTTCAAGAGCCTTGTACCGATAAACTAGCCTTGTACTGCCATTTTATGGTGATGTAAAGTATTCAAAAAATTTGCAATGTAAACCATTACATGGCAGAAACTTTAAAATAAACAAAAACATGACACTTAGTACAGGGGCTTTTTGGCTGGTGAAGTCAGATAAAACGTGGCTCAAGTGCTCGTTTAAAATTAAAAATGGAATTTCTCACAGTCGAATTTCTTGGTAGACAACAAAAGTTTATCATCAATTGTCGCGCCGAAGGTATGACATATAGTCAAACTAAGCTTGCATGGGAGGAAGAATACCCAGATCTCGGAACTTTAACATCCAATCTCATTGCTACTGCACTTAAAAGAGCTGCATTAGGTCTATACTGGGAAAAAGGGAATCATGGCGGTGCAGATCCATACCTATGCGAGCGTGATCAGCTCACTTTAAAAGAAATTATCGAAGATTCTGCTTACAAAGGTGAAGCTCTAGAAGCAGCTGACATTATTGACGAGGCGTTCAAGTTGAAAGAGCTCAGAAGAGATTATGGTTACAGATTCCTTCTTGAGATTAATTGTCCTACTCTTGCAGAAGAAGTTATCAATACTCTTGGTGGTGATGATGTATCGAGACCTTATGTTAACCATATTTTACAGCAATTGCATTGCAAGCTTAAGGCATGCCAAGAGATTGAAGAATCAAGATACATGGCGTGTGAACCAAGAATTATCGAAGAATTCTACGATAAACATCGTGAAACAATCGAAAGTACTCCAGAGGAGTTGATTTTTAGTATCGATGAAACATTCATAAACAAATTTAAGAAGAAGAAAGTTGCATTACCTGAGGAGATAGAGCATATGATCGCCAAAGGAATTCCAAACTTTCCGCACATTACAGCTTTATGCGGATGCTCAATGACAGGCAAATCTGTCCCACCTCTCTTTGTTCTCCCATGTATTGCAGAACTACCTAGAGAACTGAAAGTATTCCAGCGCGAAAGACATTGTTGGTTTACTTCTACGCCAAAAGGCTGGGTGAACAGAAGTGTATTCTTATTGTATTGCATTTTCTTCATCGAGTGGCTTAACTTTGAACGCCAGAGAATGCCAGAAGATATACGTGACAAGCCTGCTCTCATTGTGTGTGATGGACACTCCAGCCGCGAGAATCCTCTGGCATTGTTCCTTTTGGCAAGTGCCAACATCAAATTAATTGTTCTTCCCGCACATACAACACACATTTTACAAGTATTTGATGTTGGCATTGCCAAAAGATTAAAGTCCAAATTCACGGATTATCTGAGAGATTACATTAAGGCACCGAAGCAAGAGTTCAACAGCAATGCTGCAATGATGCGCTACACCATTATCTACTCATTTATTAGCGCATGGCAAGAATCAGTATCATTAAGAACGGTTCAAAATGCTGCCGCCGCCTGCGGTCTTTGCCCTTGTTCTGTAGAAGCTCTCAAACATAATAAGTATGTTCGTGAATTGACTCCTGCAGAAAAAGAATTGCAAGAGAAAAGAAATTACCGTAATCGAAATCGTTTTAACATCAATGGTGAAGAATTGACGACGATGGACATGATTTGCGCAATTTCTGACAATATTAAGAAGAATCCTGCAAATCACAGATTTTGCAGGAAGCCAGAACAAGACACCAAGGAACGTTTCTACTTTTGGATTACAAACTATCTTGATCCAAGCACTGAGTTGTTGACAAAACTCCCTAATATGCCAGGTTATAGTCCAAATGATTAGGAAAATTTTCCAATTTTCCAACAAAAATTTTCCAATTCTCCACCAAAAATTTTTTAATAAAATATTATTTTACGGCATTGCCCGTCACTTTTTTCGGTACAAGGCTAATATCACGGTATAACCCCCCTGAATATTTGTGGTCACTTCATCTTACCACGTGGTAAGTTTTTATAAAACTCTTTATTTACCATTGATTTCTGATTTAATATCAATATCTTGAATAATCAAGCATATCTAAAAAAAAAAAAAAAAAAAAAAAAAAAAAAAGGTAGTGGGGCTTCCAGGCACTTCGTGCCCTCTAGCCCCGAAGATGTTTAGAATATGAGAGAGGTCCTATAAACCGGAGAAAGTGTCATATAAACATCTGTCATTTTACTCAGAATTTTCATGAAATTTACACCAAAAATATATTTTAGGGTAGAAGGGTATATCTAACCTCTTTTCTAACCTCTTTTCTACCCTCTTGAATTTTCATGAAATTTACACCAAAAATATATTTTAGGGTAGAAGGGTATATCTAACCTCTTTTCTAACCTCTTTTCTACCCTCTTGAATTTTCATGAAATTTACACCAAAAATATATTTTAGGGTAGAAGGGTATATCTAACCTCTTTTCTAACCTCTTTTCTACCCTCTTGAATTTTCATGAAATTTACACCAAAAATATACTACTAGGGTCATTTACGAAGAAATCTCAACAAAGTCTTTACGATGAAGTCTTGACAAAGTCTTTACGAAGAAGTCTCAACAAAGTCTTTACGAAGAAGTCTCAACAAAGTCTTTACGAAGAAGTCTTAACAAAGTCTTTACGAAGAAGTCTCAACAAAGTCTTTACGAAGAAGTCTCAACAAAGTCTTTACGAAGAAGTCTTAACAAAGTCTTTACGAAGAAATTCATGAAAATTCAAGAGGGTAGAAAAGAGGTTAGAAAAGAGGTTAGATATACCCTTCTACCCTAAAATATATTTTTGGGTCATTTACGAAGAAGTCTCAACAAAGTCTTTACGAAGAAGTCTTAACAAAGTCTTTACGAAGAAATCTCAACAAAACATAGACAAGAAAGTTCATGAAAATTCAAGAGGGTAGAAAAGAGGTTAGAAAAGAGGTTAGATATACCCTTCTACCCTAAAATATATTTTTGGGTCATTTACACTCATTTACGAAGAAATCTCAACAAAGTCTTTACGAAGAAGTCACAATAAAACATCTGTCAAAAGCCGCTTTTTAACTTCACTTAAAATGCCACGTAAGCTACGTAAGAATATACGTAAGAGGAAGGGAGCATTGAAACATCCAATAGTAAGACTGACACCACAACAACAGTTGCAACAACAAATGCTGAATGACCCCACTATGTTGCAACAAATGTCAAGCAACCCTATGCTCTTAAACCGAGTTCTTGGTGCACAGAGTGGAGGTTTAAGAGCGGCACTTTTAGCGAAAATGGCAGGCTATGGTGGAGCTGCAGACGGAACAGCTTATAACCCTCAAAGTCAAATGAATTTGAGTTCACTCAAAAATCAAATAACAGATGTCAAAAAGTCAAACATAGACATACAGAAGCAAATAAGTGAAAACGAAAAGAAACTAGAATATGACAGACACACAAAGAAACTCAATGAGTTAAACGTAGAGAAAAAGAAGAAAGAAGAACAACTGAAAGAACTAAGTACAGAGGAATATGCAAAAAAAGTGTCAGAAAAAGCAACAGAAGTAGCAAAAATGGAACAAGATGTCATAAATTTGAAAAACCATACTACTCAATATAAAGTACTGAAAGATGAAGAGATAAAACAAAAAGCCCTGAAGACATATATGGATAGCGATGAGTATAAAAAAGAAGTTGAAGCAAATGTAAAGGCAGAAAAACTTTTACAGTTGCAAAACCAAACCGTACAGTATGAAAACTTAGCACAAGAAAGTAAAAATAACGACGCGGCTATGCAAAAGGCAATGAAAAGCGCAGAATATATAAAAGCTAACAATGACTGGTTAGATGCCCAAGCCAACGCTAAAGCAGCCCAACTCATAGGGTCAATAAGGACAAAAATACAAGCGGATGAAGACAGTTCAAATGAAGCTTTAACAAATGCTGACTTTAAGAATGCCTTCGAAGCTCTTCATAGTAAGGTGAAACTAGTGAACGACTTCTCATCTGGAAAGAAACTGAAGTCTGAAGGTTTCGACAAAGAGTTAAAAGAAGTAGCACAAAATATGACGAAAATAACAGATGCAGCAACGAGACAGGCAGTTCAAAGTGCCTATGACGCCGTTAGAGCAACTGTTGTGAAAAGTCAAGAAAAAGAGTTACAACAGACCAAAACAGACCTAGTAAATGCTTTCTTAAGAACGAAAAGTCAGGTAGGACATTACGCTGCAGATGGAACATATGTGCCAGCTGGTGGAACTTATATACCACCAAACCCTCCAAGAGAAGCACCTGCACCAGGACTACCTAAAACATTTACATCGTCACATGGACATAGACACAGGCATGCACCAAAACCACCTCCACAACCAGCACAACAACCAGCACAGCAACCAACAGTTCAAAACCCAGCACAACAACAACCACAAACAGAGCAAGGACATAAAAGAAGTAGAGAACAAGGAAACCAAGAATTCTTAAAAATGCTTAAAGAAGAGTGTGGTTTCCCAGATACTGTTGACTTTAGTGACAGATATAAAGAAGCTATTGGAAAGTTCAAGGATGGAAATACTGACCCGAACCTATTTAGCTTTATGGCTCAGCACCAAAACGGATATAATCTCAAACCTGGAAAATACAAGCTCGCTAAGGGATATGATTTAATAGCATATCATCCAAATGACATGGATGAATTTACTCCGAGATATTTGATGTCAGAGCTAAATGACAATTCAACTTTCGTCATGAAACGCGTAAAAAATAGAGACGGAACGAAAGAACAAAAGCTTATGAATGCGGATGACGTAGATAGGGAAATTGTTGAAAACGGTCTCGGAATATATGAAATGCCAGCAGATGAGGTACAAGAAACTCCACAGGAAGAACTAGTTCAGATACAACCAGACATGGAAGAAATAGTTCAGCAACAACAGCTAGAAGAGCCTGAAGGAAACGAACAAGTCCTTCCTTTGGAAACTAACTTCACAGAACTAGATGAAGATTTGGAACAGCCGAAAAATCTTGACCCTCAACAAGAGTATGCGGAGAATATGGAATATTTCCAAGAGTCTAAAAAAAATTCAGCTGACATAGTAGAAGAATATCGAAAAATGTTTGCCGACATACAAAAGACTCCAACACCAGATGAAAATATTCAGCATAGAATGGAAGCACTGAAAGAAAATGTACACAAATACAACAACCCTTTTTACTTACGAGCATTTAACGTTCAATCTTTGGATGAACTCGGTGAAAATAAAAGGTTAAATTTCAAGAAAACATATAGAAATGAAACATTGTTTAAAGTTCATTCAGAACCTAACCAAGATGGAAACAAACCTACTTTTGTTTCTGCAGACGATGGAACTACAATGAGATGGGGTCATAAAGCTAACCCGGATAGGTGGTTCATAAACTTACAACCTCAATTCCAAGAAGTTGTAGACGCAATGGAAGTCAATGGTGAACCAGATATAGCTGGTATTTTAAGCGCGGCTTTAATGCCATTGAAAGATATGAAACATGCAGATATTTTGGACCAGTATGAAATGAACATGGCTGATGGAAATATAACACCTGACGTTCTAGAACATTTATCTCAAAGAACTACACAGAACCATAGAGATGGTATATTTGGTGAAGAGTTTAGAAAGAAAGTTAGGGAGGGCGAAGGAAGAGAACCTATTGTACATGACCTTGCAAACGAAAGTTTACAAAATGTCATAAAAACTTACTTTGCAGACAATGAAATGAGAAGGGATGAATATTTAAGAAAACTCAAATGGACAGTACCAAATGAAATGTTAGTATTGAAAAACATGTTCCTTGACAAAATAAAACCAACTACAGAAATAAACGACGCAAGACTGAAAGATTGGGTAAAAGCTTTCCCATTCACAAAAGATATAGTTGGTAACATGGAAAGAAAACCAGAATGGCTACAAAAACATATATTTGGAAACGAGCTTATTCCATATGGACAGGCACTGTTTGAAGAGCTTGAACCGGAAACTCAGGAAAGAGTCATGCAAACAATACGCGAAGACTCAAATACAAACTATGACAAACTCTTTCTAGGATATAGGTTACCTGAGATGGGCGACCAGAGCCAAAAGGCAAAAAGGACATGGGAAATTTGCAACATACTAGATGAACATAATGCAAAGATGCAACAACTTCAAGCAGAGGGCAATGAAGGAAAAAGAAGAGTTAAAAACTCAGTCAGGAAGAAAGTAAAGCTTGGTCCACGTGGGTTCTATTATGACATATAAATCCAACTATTCTATATTTTTACTCATATGAAATGTACGCCGCTCAGAATATAACGCCAACAGTTTTGGATGCTATGAATGGAAATGTTTCCGAATGGTATAACGAATGCGACAATGCCATTAGAAGGTCAGAAATAGTTCCTGGAACTTACGAATATACAACTGCTGTTTCTTATGGAAATGTAGAGTTTGGAGAAGGTTCTTCAACAACAGTAGATATTGCTTGCGACAGGTTTCATATTATTTCTATTGACAACTCATTCTTATACGTGGAACAAGACATTGAAATAAAACCTTCTGCCAAGTTGTCTGACAAGAAAGGTTGCAATGGAATTTTCTATGTCGGATACCAATATGCTCCAGAAGTTTTCATGGGATATAAGATATATTCTAACTCTGACTTAGTTCAAACAGTAACATGGGCAAACTATGAATGGTTCGCTTTGAGAAACTCAGTACAACCACAAGCTAGAGAACAAACAGACCAGTATGCCACCATTGAGAAAATAAGAAGACTTGACCCTAACGTTCCAGGAGTTTATGTTGACCTTTCTGGACAAACTGCAGCAGCAGTAACCAAAGTAAAACTGAAACTTAGAGTCCCTTTGTCATCTTTCCTTATCTTCAGGTTTTTAAGATACTTGCCAAACTGGGCAGGAAAAATTTCTATCGAACTTACTCCAAGCAAAAATAACTTAGTCATTGCACCAACACAAGACCCATTCACTCTTACTGTAGCTGGAACTGGTGGAGCCAAGTTCTGTGACTTTTGCAAAGACAAAGTTGACTTAGACTTTGGTTTCTCAAACTTCAACACTGAAGTAAACTATTATTTCAATGCTGCTGGAACTGCTTGGGACCCAGTTAAGTTTACATGCGAAAAATTTGAATGCAAGAGAATAGAAAGCAGACTTGCCGTTTATATGTTGGACCCAGATATTTCAAATGCTTTAGCTGCCAAATATATTGCAGTTCCACTTATGTTCCCTATACACCAAATAATCTGTCAAAGACTTTGCAGGTGAAGTTGGAAACCAAAGTGCTGACCCAGGTGCAAGAACAGATATTGCTTTAACAACTGCAATGAAACATGCAGATACTATGTTTGTACTGTTCAGACGAACTATAAATGACTATTCTTGTTTCTACAACCCTGGTATTAAATATCATATAAACATAGATGGCAAATATATCCAAGAGAAGAATATTCCACAGTTGAGGATATGAGGTCATACAACTTGACATTAGATGCTATGAACTTTAACAAACTTCACAACAACCATTAACCCTGAAATGCAAAGTTCTATTATGCCATATGTGAAAGTATGGACCCATACAGGAGCTCAAAAAACTCAATATAACAAATGGAGACCGTTCAAACTTTGTTTTGGCTTGGCATTCCATTTGCTGACTCAGAAGACTTTATGGGTGGTATTTCAACTGTTGGTACTGTACATAATACAATATACTGGTGACAGAGACGGTCCAGATGAATTGAAAGCAAAGAAGTTTACAAAAACCAATAGCACTTTTCACGGAAGATGCTCTTTTGAAAATTCGTTCGATGAAAACCTGCTGGGGCTCCTCAGATTGGCATAACGACAGCTTCCATCGAGCAGATTTGGCAGCAGGTCAGTAAGTTGTTCTTGAACTGACTTCCTCTCCGTCAAATATTGACAGTACGCCAGTTTTGACATAATATTGTATTATAAAACTTTCCTTTATAATATCGGTTCAGTTTTGAAGTTATATTTTGTCAACGTCCAAGAACTTTCACCATCTCGGTTATACCAACTTTCTTTGCTTTATGGAAATATTTTGGTTCAGCAAATATTGCTATTCTATAACATTTACCATTGTTTGTATAAAGAACTATTCTGTCAATGTATTTGTATTGTTTGTGTGTGTAAACTTTGTTCTGCTTCAATTCGAAGAGATACTCAAATACGTCCATCTTTTTATTCTAAGTAAAATGTCATTTCCGAAAAATAGAAGCGTAAGTGTTTCAAAAGGTTTAATGGCGTGGCAGATGTGAAGTTAAATTCACCAACTCAAACAAACAGTCAAAGTGTTGTTGTCATGTCAAAGAAAGAGAGTTGAAGTGGGGAAACCATACGAAGACGAAGATGGTATAACAATAGTTCCTGTAAAAGAACAACCAACATACCCTGAAGTTAGCAGAGACTTAAGTTCTGTTGCAGATATTCAAACGACTACCAACAACTGAAAGACAAACTTAAAACTCAGGAGAAAGATTTTCAAGCTTTAGGTATAATTGTTAAACTTGGTCGAACACCAACCCTGTAAAAGTGAACTCATATGTCATCGCACCTCATGAAGTTTTGAAAGAAACTATTGAAACTTTTGACAGAGGCAGATGATATAAACATCAAAGAAATAGAACCCGACATTAGTTGCTGTGGTGTTTCATATAATGTCATTGACAAGATATACGTTATGAAAGGAGGTGAAACCTTGAACTTAAAATATAGTTTCCCAGACGTCATAAAAAAATATTGACGACCACAACATTCATTAAAAATTTACTTGCTAAGTAAAAATGGCAGAAGACATAGTGGTTTATTACTATTTACGACTAAAAACCCTGAGTCATATAATTCTATAACAACAAACTTACAAAGTCCTCAAGGACGATATTTGTAAACTAACCTTAAACACAATGACGACTAAAGCCTGTTTTTTCTTTTGACACCAGAAGACTTTATTGTTGTGAATGGTAAAAAATACTCCTTTGAAGATACTTACTCAGATATACCACCAACAGGTTTGTTGACTTATTTAATACTTTAAGGACGGATGTAACATGTGCTGCAACTAGAGCAGGTTTCATTATGTTTGGATGTCCGACTGAGTTTACTATAAACGATATGAGCTATAATACAAAACTTATATCTGGTTTTTACTACCAACAGTTTCCTATAACAGGAAAAGGTGTCATACAAGGAATGTCTGCCATTGATTTAAGCACACCTATTTTATATATTGTTTCAAACTTAGGTTCAAAGTGCTATTCGAATGTCGACAGAAACTACTATGACCAAAAGATACTCATGCGTATAAACAACACTTTCTCTGCTGGTTTGCCTATTGTTCATTCGAATGCAGAGTTTTCAGCTTTAGTAAACTCAAACACTTTAGCAAACATAAACTTAACCTTAGTTGACGCAAACTTTGTTCCTGTAAAACTTTTATGTCCTATGTATTTGTCAATGACGGCAGAAAGTTTCGAATTGGAAGATGCAACTGGTGAAAGTATTGTATTACAAGAACAACTTCAACAACAAATAGCTCAAGAAAAACAAATGCAACAAATGGAACAACAAAGTCAAGAATAAAAAAATAATATTTTTTTTATTTTATAAAAATGTACAGAATAGATGTTTCAGATTTTTATGACTTCCAAGCATTCAGAAATATGTGTCCATTTAGAGACTATAACAAAGCAGTCGAGAATTTGAAACGTTTAGTCATTATGTTGACTCTGCCCCAGAATGTTATGTCATGAAAGAATGGGATGTTGTCTTTAACAAACCTAAAGCGACAGTAGTTTCAGAACAAGAATGTAGACAGAAACTTAAGAAAATAAAAGTTGTACAAGTTGGAATGAAGATGTTAGATGCTTGGGATATCTTATTGTCAAAGTTAGAAGATTTTTCAGTTCGAGGTATAAAGTTCTATACACCTTCTCCAAACTTCTATTCTATCTTCACTGGATATAAATACGAACAAGTAGAATGGAAAGAAAATATATAGAAGCTTGGTTAGACCATGTCAAAGAAATTATATGCAATGGAAACGAAAGAGTCTATGAGTATATCTTATGTTGGTTTGCAAACATCTTACAACATCCAAGTGCTAAAAATGAAACTGCTCTCATTATAATTGGAAAGCAAGGAACTGGTAAGAACACATTCTTTACAGATATTTTGTGCAAACTGTTAGAAGGTTATTCGAATCCGAATATGACAAACTTAGAAAACATCTGTGGCAAGTTTAACTCCTCAATAGAGAATATGAAACTTATAGTTTGCAATGAACTTCAAAGTATAGATACAACAAAAGTTTTGAACTCAGATGCTTTGAAGAGTCTTATAACAGACAAAGTTGGAGTTGTTGAAAGAAAATATAAAGACCAAAGAGTTTGTGAAAATGTTGCAAACTTCATTATGGTTTCAAACAATGCTGTTCCGATGAAGTTAGAAAGTTCTGACAGAAGATATGTAGTTGTCAGAACGTCAGATTCTCATATGCAAGATACAGAATATTTTGACGACTTAGCAGAAACTTTGACATCTGACTTTTACAACCACTTGTTCTCATACTTTATGACATTAGATATTTCTAAGTTCAATCCAAGACAAATTCCACATACCGAAGAAAGACAAACATTGTTAGAAGCAAACAAGAGTGTATATGAACTGTTTATAGATGAGACTAACTTTGAGTGTTTAGATGAAAGGTCATTGTACGATTCGTATAAACAGTATTGTCAAGAGTATGGTTATATGGCAGCGTCTAAACGTACATTCTTGGCAAATGTCAAAAGTCTTTTAGATGTTCAGAACGGCGTATATACAAAGAAAATTTTTTCTGAGTAAATTTTAAAAAAATATTTTTTTATCCGATAGAAAAGATGACGAAATTCATCTCAGTAAATAAGTACATGACAGAAGTCAAAGAAGAACTAGACCCATTCGCTTATTTGAATGTTTACTTCTACCATTTTGAAAAGTCTACATTTGACAAAGTTTGGAACATCGAACCAGTTAAGTTTGCTATTGTGACTAAAAATGGTGCGAAATTTGAAGACTTAGACATAGAAGGTTTGTTAGCAGTCAAAGAAAATTTTGACAAAAGTTTCAACCTTAAAGAAAGGCAAAGCATAAAACTTGTTTAATACCTTATGAAGTCCAAAGAAAGCAGACGATATGAATATTATAGATCTAAGATAGTTTGAAAGTTCAAGGTAATTGGGTAAAAAGATTTTAGAGTCTAAAGCAGTGTTTGCTCTAAAGAGGAAGAGCACATTGACATTGACCCAGAAATGTTCTAAAATAAAAATTTATTTTTACATGTCATATCTCACCTTCTCTGGAACTGGTTCAGGTTCTTTCTTCTCTTCTACTTCTTTTTCTTCTAAACTTTCTTTTCTTTCTTTTCTCTCTTCTTCTTCTTCTCTGGTGGAGTTATGTCAAATTTGGCGCAACCATATTTATGTAAAAGTTCTTTGTCCTTTAATAGCTCTTCTATTCTGTTTTCTATTTCATCTTCAAGAACAGCGCATGTGTCTTCTTTGCATTCTAAGAACTCTTTGTTGGACTTCATCTTTCCAATCGGCGTCATCTCTGTCAACAAGTTCTGTCATTGAACAATTTTAAGACTTCTCTGCTAATGTTTTATGGTTCTTGTCTATTTCCAGAAACAGAACTTTAGACCAAATTACCCTTTCTTGTTTACACTATGTAAGATTTTAGGTCGACAGATGTTTAGAGTCAAAAAAGCTTGTCTCGAATTAGATAGCGAAATCGCTAAGACCATTTTCAAAAAGATAAAAATTTTAATTTTCTATAATATTATGTTTAGAAAAAAAGTTTGCTGAAACATTGAACAAGAAATTTGAGCATGTTTTAAAAAGAACAAGAGGAGTTAGAAAATGCTCAGATAAAACCATAATGACAAGTTCTTATTTGCTCAGAATGGTATACACAGGTCTAATTGCACCACCTGGTCGGTAAGGACTTTTCACTATCTAAAATGGCTGCACAACAACAAGAATAGATGAAAAGAACCCATTCTAATGAGTTATAGTTGTCATTTGTAGTACTTCTGGTCAATTTGACCAAACGTCAATTCGTTCAACGGAATTATAAGAAAGTCTAAGTTAGTGTATAAAGGCATATGATTGTTAGATTTGGATAAAGAAGTACCAAAGAAGTGGTTTTCTGAGTCATATGCTATAAATGAGTATGTCACATTCCGATAGTTTAAAGACCCAAATAGGAATGTCAGAGAATATTAGAGAAAAACCACTTTCAAAAACAAACAGAAGAGATAGAATAATTTCGAAGAAATTGCAATCTTTCGATTGGAAGCCTTAACCCTCGACAGATGTTCTTCTTATCTTAGAGATTTCGCCTCTCATCCTTTGTTAAAGAACAGAGAACAAAGCCATGTGTCGAATTCTTAAAAGCTCAGGCACTTTTAACATCTCTGTTGTCATTTGTGTATCAGAAGCAAAGAGTTTTAGTAGGAATGTAAAGAGAATACTACTTACTGAGCATTATACTTTTCCTGGTTGTCCGAAGACGATTTCAATGGACCTTTATGAAGAAGTCCATGGCAGGTAATTTTGGACAGACATGAAGCTATGGGAGGAGTACAAAGTCCATACAAGACCCTCATATCTTCTTTCAGAATTAAATATCCTCGCGAACAAAGTTCAAATTGTAAAAAGTCAATAAAAGATAAATGGTTATTTACGTCTGCTTGTTTGAAGTTGTAAAATATATCTGTTATTTTTTCACGATTTTCATAGGAATTCAAATAAAAATTATATTTTAGGGTAGATGGGTATATCTACCCGTTTTCTCTCATTTTCTACCCATTGGTCTCTTACTGAAAAAGTACTGTTCCATATGCCATTTCTCAGAATATTTACCTCAGAATTCCGCAAAATATATTTTATGGGTAGTGGTATATCTAACCCGATTCAACCTCATTTTCTACCCCAGATATTTTATAAGCGTTTTACATGGTAAACATGTTGATTCGTGAAATTCTAAACATTCTCCGTAGCTTCCTATTTCTTTCTGTATACATCGAATGTTGTTAACAAGTGCGAAGGTTTCTTTATACTTATTTCTTGACATCTGAAAGAAAGGAAATCGTCAGCTGTTGGATAGTTTTTTTGTTTAGAATGTCACATGCATGTTTATCTTCTCGGTTCTCTGCCTCCCTCTTTAAGTACGAGCAATAGTCCGTTTCATCATACGTTCTTATTCTTTTGACGGAGTAGTTATATTTCCTCATTGCTGCTTTACATTTTTCGAACATTAGTGGGTTCATTTTAGATATGTACATTGGAAATCTTCCTGCTATATGCTAAGTCTCAATTGGGCTCCTTTAACCTCAAAAGTTGCGGGTTTGACTTGTTCATTCACTATCTTCCTCTTCTATCTTTATCTCTTATCTGCAATACATATTTGCAAACTAACGAAACAAAGTATGTCGTAGGTCCTTAATTCTTCAGATTTATAATAGATGGTCAGAGATGTTATCTTATATACATAGTCGAATCTTGTGTCCGATGACTTTGTTGGTTGCATGAAATCAAGAAAGCTCATCATTTAACTTTCGTATGAACTTCTTTATTTCTACTGAGTCAGTTGTTTGACTTCTATTTACAATCGACATTCTGGAAATAGTAGCTTTTGTTGTTTGTATTCAGGAAGTTTAGGGTTGATGGTATATATCTGCAATTTAACCATAAGATATGTTCATTTTGTTTTCATCTTTTCGCACTACAGTCTAAACGTACTTGTTAAAAAGTTCTTGCTTTAATTCTTCTCGGATGTCTTTTTCGAAAGTCATATGAATAGAAGGAATGAAGCTTTCATTCTCTACTAAATTGAGATGGTATCATGACTAACGAGATTGGTGCTTGTTGTTGCTAACGTTCTTAAATAAAAAAATAAAAAAATATTTTTTTTAAAAAACCAACATTTATTTTTTATGTTCTTTTATGTGTCTTCTGTGAAAGGTCAAAAAATTTCAAGAGTTTGTGTGTTTTCTAGATGGTAGAAAAGAGGGTAGAAAACGGGTAGATATACCTTCTACCTAAAATATATTTTTATTGAATTCAGCACAAAATTAAGAGTTTTTTGTGTGTTTTCTAGCGGGTAGAAAAGAGGGTAGAAAACGGGGTAGATATACCCTTCTACCTAAAATATTTTTTGGGGTAAAAAGTTCAAATTGTACACAGTAAGCTTGAAAAATCTAAGTGTTAGTCTTAGTAAGATGGTAGCTTCTTAAGCATATGCCGTCCTTGAGTTTTATGTACGTGAAGAGAGTAAATGAAATTCAATTACGAAGTACAATTCATGACAACTAAGGCTTCAACTATTTTTGTCTTTTGCAGAAGGTACTTTCTCTTCTCTTTCAATGGTTCGGCAGAATATACTACTCATAGAAATGGCCCAAAACGGTTTATAGAAAGTGTATTTTTTAATGTCGAAGATCGAAGTGCAACACTTCCAAAATACGACGACTAGAAGAGCAGCATGGATATCTTCTTGCAATTTTTGAGTCTCGTAACTTGAAAATCTGAAGAATCGAACAGAGATTGGAGAAATTGCCCCATCCATACTA